CCCCAAAACCCCAAAACCCCGATTCTTGCTAAGTTTCTAAATTTTTAGAGTAAATTAAATTAATCAATACAATATCACTGTTTAAATCTTCGAACCATTTTAAAAAATCTCGAAAATACACCCTCCTTCTAAGGAACCTAGTCCACAAAATCCTTATTTTCAATATCCATTTCAACTTCATTACTATCATCATCCTAGTCAATATTATAAATGTCATTCCTATCTCCAATCTAACTTATATTCTGGGAAATATTATTTTCTTAAGACAGTTCCTCAACAGCTAAACCATATCTACTCCCCTTACCACCAAAAGATTTTACTCCAAATTAACCAAATAAGGGTCTGTTGCTTGAAATTCGTTCTCTACTCGAACTATCAGGATTATCATTCATGTATTGTCCATCCATATCCCTCATCAGATCAGCCGTTAATTTCTTAGATAACTTACGCTAATTAGTTTGAAGTTAGAGTCTGTTTTATTTTCTTTTTTTTATTAGTCCTGTTGAACTCTGATTGAAGAGATTGTTATCCTCAAGTTTATTTTTACTATTCACCATCACTACCTCATCATCGATTTGTTTGCCCTTAGCACTTGATTTTGACTTTGAGTAATCAATGAATACCTTATCATGATCATTTATATTAGGAAACGGGTCCTGGTACTTTCTAACCTTATTATCATTTGCTGCAAATTAAGAAGGCTTTTAAGTGAGTATTTAGGTTTGATTGATCTGTGTAGATTTTGTCATCATAAAGTCTGAATCTAAGAGACCATTCAAATCTACTTTCAGCTTATTTTATGGTCTTATGTTTGAATCAATCGATCCTAGTTATTTAAGTTAGAATTTGATGGCATTTTTAGAATTTTAAGAAATCTACTATTTTGAGATTATTCACTTACTTATCATATCAACTGTTTATGAGATAGCAAGCATTTCGGTATCCTCTCTAAATTACCTCCTAGTCATTGTTGGATATCTATTTATATTTAGGATATATTATCTTACTGTTTAGCTTTAGACATCCTTGGTGAGTCTGTTTTCATAGGTAATTTATAAGACTATTTTCTCTTTCTTTATGGTTTCATGTCTGCCATGATCCAATTTTCCACACATCCTAAGTCATTATCTTCTTGATCTTTTTATTGTCTCTTTTTTCTATTGTGTGTTTGGTTTTAATTGGATTAAGGATTGTTGCTTTGGGGATTACTATTTTGGTCTTGTGGTATTTGAAAAGGCCTGTTTTGATATATTTAAGATTCATCAAATATTTAGCTTTTAGTATTATCGCCCATACCCATAATGTTTTCAAATGATTGAAATTCTAAAGTTTTTAGTAATGTCAAATAACACTTACCATTTGCTGTGATATCTACACTTCTTCTTGAATTATCTCTTGGATAATGCTAGTATTAATCTTTGGTGTATCTCTTTGTAGGATGATTGGCTGCAAAATTTCCACCCTGCTTCGTCGAAAAATAATTCATTTCTCTTCTTTACGAAATCAATTAATTAATTAATCTATATCGAATTTCAATCAAATTATAATTCATGGGGTTTTGGGGTTTTGGGGTTTTGGGG